AACACGTGTGGATGCAGCTCCCTTTGGAAAGCAGACGGAGTTTCATTCAGTGTGGCACTGATCCTGGTGCCCTGAAACTCCGGGGCATTGCCCAGCACCCAGGCCTGCTTCTTCCAGGGTTGTATTTGAGGAATCCAGCAGAGCAAGCGTGCGCTGTGAGCAGCTCTCGGCTTGCTGCACGCTCCCATGAGAATGAAGCAGTGTCTGTATGAAAATGTAAAAGTCCTGGAAATTTAGGACTAGGAAATTTATTTATGCTGAGGTGCGTGGCTTTATTTTTTGAGGGTAGAGTTTCTGAAATCTGTTGGTATGGCTTATTCTTGTATAGCCCAATATACTGCATGGATCCTCAGCTGATCTCAGGAGCGTCTGTGACTTCTGCCCTTCACTTCTTCCAGCTGCCTCCTCTCCCTTCTGCAGCCCTTTTAATAAACTACACAAAGAACCGGCTGGTAACTGAAGGGAGCTTCTCCTTCCTTCATGCTGCACCCAGGTTTTTAGTCTGTGAAATGCACAATGCACTAACTGCTTCTATGCTGTGGGAGACGTGTTTGCACAGTCTGAATTTCCTGAAAGCTTTCTTAGGAGCAAACCAGCAAGTTTATTAGTATATGGCATTTTTAATTACTATTTTAAACCTCGGCAATAAAATGTGAATATTGCTGTTGACCAAAGTACACAAAGAATACCCTATAAAGCTAATACGATATGAGTGATATTTGTGTTAAGATAAAATGAGACGTGAGGAAATGAAACTCTTCTGTAAGCTTGTTTCCAGGGGACACAACCAGAGTGCCAGCAGCAGAAGGGCTGAGCTTGACCTTGCGTTGATGAACGAGGCGGTCAGCCTGCAGAAGAGGGTTGGAGCGGAGCGGGGAATGCACCCAGGGGGGAAGTTTGTCTTCAGCTCCCTGCATTGTGTTTGGATGGAGAACCTGGAGACACAAGCAGCAACTCTGGTGTGTGCATGTTTATTCTCTCATCACTGATAGAATAATAGCTGATTTTTGTCCATATATACCCGCAAGCATTTTATAGAACAATCGCAACCTGCAAGAAAAAAATATCTGGACAGTCTTCTTGATAATGTTTTAAGTTAGAAATGTCCCTGCAAGATCAACTGGGGAAACTTCTTTTTTTTTATAAAGAAAGCCTTGGACAGATTAGTCTATCTGAATTGTTCTTAAGTAGGAATCCGTTCCTTTACAGCAGCCCAAAGGTTACTGGCAATGCATCAAAGATAAACCCATGACGGGTTGATTTAGATATTAGCTACAAATACCCATTAACCTGTTTACGTTCTACCACCTATTGCTGTCTGCAGGGAGTTACTACAACACTAATGCGCTTCTGGTGGTAACTTAATGGAGAAAACATTTTGTAAATATATATATATATATATATACACACACACACACACACATATATATATATACATGGAACAAAGTGGGTAGAATTATCCAGAACTTATCTCCTACTTTCTAGTGAATATGAATAATACACCTGAGAACTTCATAGTTAAGAGCATTTTGGTAAGTTTTTAATAATAATTTGATTTTATATGCAATGGGCTTTGTTAGTCATTCTACTTCAGCATCTTTAAAGATGCTATAGTCATTTTATGATGACTAGTCTTTTCAGTTTCAATTTTACTAGTCCTTTAATATGCTTTCTAAGTTTCCCACATTTGTTTGAAAAGATCTTATTTTATTATAACACAAAGCTGGCAAGATGCAACTGAATACCCACATAAAGGAAGATATAATGTGGGACTTAATACTAAACATTCAGTAAAACACTTATCTCTTCACAATAAGATGCTATAAAATTGTTATTGGTTAAACACATATGCAAGATCCAGGAAATGTGCGGTTGCTTGTGCTTTGGGTAGCAGTCAATAATGAAAATGAGTCACTCTGAATGTTTCTTTGCAACTGTATATTAAGATTGTTATGTAGTATGTCTGCATAGATGTGTTTATTTTGCTTCTGTGTTGCAAAATGGAGGTGCATTTTAGATACCATACAAATCTTCACTGCCTACTGCCTCTTCAGGTCACTCTGCTCAGGACCAGTGAGCTAATATTCATGTTATAAGGTATCTAGATTTTAAGGTAAAAGTTTAGCCCTTCAGAAAGGGCACCTTTTTGTCCAACACTTAGCTGAAAAGCAGCAGTAAAACCTGCCTGAACATCATCTCTGTTCAAGCTGGGATGAGCAATTAGGATAGCCTGATACTGGGGTGGGCAGACACCCTGTGGCACCCAAAGGGTGGCTATTGCTCTTTGCAGTTTTGGGTCTGTTTGGGTATTTGGCCCCAAATACTGAACTCCTTTTCTGTGGTGTTGTTGCTTTCCAGAGACCCGAGAAGAAAAACTCTGTATCTGTGTAAAACAGCCCCTGAAAAGGTTCTTGGGACTCCAGCAGTGGCTTCTGAAGTCCATGGCTGCAGTTAGAAATGAAAATATGAAGCTAGTGGTGCCAAATAGCTTCTTTGGGGGCTCAAAATCTGCAGGTTTCTCAGAAAACAAACAGCTTGTGAGGTGCTGCTGGGCTTTCTAGGCTCATGTGAGAAGCAACTGCCCCTGTCACTTCTTGACAGTCAAATTGATGAAGTTGCCCAGAAAGGTGCATTTTTGCCCCAGCTGGGTGTGAGACTGAGGCAATCGCTCTTGTCTTCTTAAAAACTTGGCTGCTCAGACTGTTTGTGAGGAGACCTGCACCTCCTTCGACCAGAGATGGCCTCTAGTCGGGAGATGATTGAAAATTAAAGGAGCAATGAATAAAAGTAGGGGTGGCCCAGGGCCATAAGGCGAGAGGGGGACACGGCGCTGAGGGGGCCGCCGCCTCCCCCCCATTTTGGCCGCGCGGCGCCTCTCGCCTCGCCGCGAAATGGCGCCCG